CAATTTCCACCATTTATATTGTATGTTGTGTTAGGAGTTGGTTGGTTGGTTGGTTGGTTGCTAAGTGATAAACTTCTACATCGCTCAACCGATCGTGATGAAACTTGACATGTATAAGTAATTTTTCATAGAGAAAATTTTTAGGCTATCAATTTTTCTGTAACTCGCCACTATATGGCGCTGTAGAACAATTTTTTGAAAGCACTGTTCTATAAGGCTGCACATGCTAAGTTCATTGATTCTGTCAAAACATTGGAACAGCAGCGATACAGCAACATAGTACTCGTAGGCTATATATTATAGAAACATCGAACCCATACCAAACCTAAAAACCCATTCAATAAGAAAATTTCAGGTGAAATTTGTGACTTATCTATAGGTGATGAATTTTTTCACTATTTTTTCAGTAATCTGCACACAAAATACTATTGAAATCACTAGTTAAATATCCTACAATTTTTTCATCGCAGACCTATGCAATTAGAGGAAAACTTACTATCGCCAATGTCAGTGCAACAAACGGTTTTGCATTTGTTATGAAATTCAATTCACGGTTCCTTCTATTAGAGTAACTTAGCGTTGAAAATAAAAAGGGTATATAATTAAAGATTTCATTCTGAACTTAATTGCTTCATTCCTCATTTTAAAAGTTTTCCACATGTTTAAAAATGAAGATGAAGAGATGGAAGTTTCTTCCTATTTCCTCAATTTGTTTGGAACTGAAAACTTCGAGAATAGTAAAAACAGTCATATTTATTCGAAAATTTTTGATACTATGAGATAGAAACACCAAAAAGTATTTGAATGAAGTCAATGCTAACAATTCCGACAATAATAACAAAAAATTAGATCTGAAACATAGTAAAGGTAACGATAATTTGAGATTTCTAAAAAGTTTGATTCTTCATCCAACAAAACGTTTTCAAGTCCACAAACAAAATGTTCGAAAGGAAAGTGAAATAAAATCGAATAATTTTTGAAAGTAGGCAGTAATCCTTTTTCTTTTCATCCAACATGCATGTATGTTTGTTTGTTTGTTTGCTTGTAACTCTCGAACTCGGGATCTGTATTTCACATAATTATCGATATTATTGCTTGATCCATTCGCGGGCAGATGGCGCTATACGTAACCTCCTTGATATAATTCGAACTCACTTTACATGTATTTCTACATTTGAAAGAAGAAGAAACACGCGCGCCTGCTGCCTTACTTTCAACCCTCTTTTGCGCGCCTGCTGCCTTGGGCTTGGTAGCTGATTTTTCAGGCTCCCTCTCCGGAATTGGAAAATATTAATGGTCATTTGTCTATACAATATACGGCTGATTGATCCCAAAGTTTAGATAGAATAAATATAGTTTATAAAGACTAAAAAACACGCTTCAATAACATACGAAACTAAAATGAAAAATAAATATGGTTTAAAGACTAATAAAACACGCTTTTAAAGAACATCGAAATAAAGAGTGAAAAATATTTTTTTGATAAGCTTAAAACAATAACGAACAAAAAATACTATTATTATTATTATAAAAAAGGCGTGGGCGCTTTGTGACATATTTTTTCCTTTTCAAAACAAAACAATTACAGACGATAATAACAGGAACAAATGGACATAATGATAATGACAAGCGCTATCAACATCAGTATTTTTAACAGATAATTATAATTCTAGGAACTCATTGATTCTTAGATATTTGAAATGAATACTGAAATTTGAATTTTGTGACTGTTTCCTCAACAGAATTTCGAAAATTGTGAATTTTCCCAAATTTCAACCGAACTCATGATATAATCTTTGAAAGAAATAGAAGGGATGCTCATCAAGTTATAATTCTTATCATGAATGAGAAAATGACTGATTGAATTTTTATAGTTCATTGATATATGATAGAATTGAGAAAGACATTCAGCATAATATGCTTTTTGCAGATGAGTTCATTGATACCAATAAATAGGGAACACTAACAACAAAAATTCATATTTTTTTCTGTTCCTTGCATCTATCGCACTACTTCTAATCTCATTGTGAGCCCTGATGGTCATGTTGATATTTCAAATATGACCCGTATAATCCAGGATTGGGATAAAGTCTTTGATTTGCGTCAACAAACCCTGAACGTGACAGATCCCATCAGGAATGTCCAGTAACCTAAGCAAACACTGGCTATCATGGCCTTGTTTGTTGATATTGGTCACTTGCTGACATTTGAGGAAGATCGAGAAGTTTCCTGCATATTCTCTATTTTCCTATACACAGATGCCTAGTACTCATTTCATATTCTTTGCTATCTCAATTTTTTTGCGAAAATCTTATACACAGTAAAATTCATCTTTGGAATTTCCTGAAATGATGCTACTGAGAGGTACCTTCACATCGACATTTTTAAGCATAGTCTTTTGGGCGTAACTCAAAATTTTAGAATAAAATTCTAGTTCTTCAGTACTGGAGAAGGTGAATTTTGAATTATGCGCGTAATTATAACTGAAGAGAAATATTTAGATGAATTTATTAAGTATTCAATTGTTCTTCAAACATCACTTTTCTATCTAACACTACTT